ACACACACAAAAAAACCCTTCTAACAACAACAAGAAAGTAATGCCCCGAGTACTCCAGATGAGAGATGATGATGGCTGAAAATAGGGCAGTTGAAGGAGAGGCGAATAATGGTCACAAATTCAGTACATAGTTTGAAGAGAGCCAAAAGGACTTACGAATGTATTAATGTAAGAACGAGATGAGGGTAAGGAGATCTCCAAGGATGAAAAGAAGGGAAAAAGAGTGCTGTAAGAGAAACCAAATAAATTGTTCAGTAACCAAAAAGAAATCCCAGCATTAATGATACTAAAAGAATCCAAACATCTGGTAAAAGTAAATTTGTTTTTATTAAAGCAAAACTTATTTTCCTTAAATTGTTATGCTATCCTACTTGGATATAGGCATTGTGAAGAAACATATCAGAGATACTATGTACAGTAGGCACTAAAAGAATATATATTTTTAAAAGTATGTTTTTATTGATTTCAGAGAGAGGAAGGGAGAGGGGGAGAGATATAGGAACACCAATGATGAGAGAGAATCATTGATTAGCTGCCTCATGCACGCCCCCTACTGGGGATAGAGCCAGGAACCCGGGCGTGCACCCTGACCAGGAATCAAATGGTGACCTCCTGGTTCATGGGTTGATGCTCAACCAAGCCACACTGGCTGGGCTCAAGAAATATTTTTGAATGAAAAAGAAAATTGTTGCTAATCTGATTTGTACATATGCCAAACACCATACTTTCCTTTTTCTTTCTTCCTCCTCTTGTCCTTAGTCTGGAACTGCCAGGCCATCGAAGGGTAAATGTGACTTTCCTGCTTTTATTGAGCAGTCTTTTAGCATCCTGTACTTTCAGTACCCTATACTTATAGTTATCAATCGTGCGCTTTAAAATTTCAATTTGAAGCATTATCTTATAAAAAGCAATTTAAAAAACATTATCAGAACCAGACCATAAGGAGACTGTTTCAAGGCTAGAATACTGATAGGTAGATAAAAGGGCAGAATGTTTTTCAGGGAACAATGAATCAGTCTCTGACATTTTTGTTCTATGAATCTCTCAAGAACAGTGAACCACTTTAAAGGGAGAAAAAAAAAAAACACTGGGAAAAAAATGTCATAGTTCATATATCCATGTGCTCTTTAGAATTCATTTTTTAAAAAAATTTATTTTATTGATTTTTTTACAGAGAGGAAGGGAGTGGGATAGAGAGTTAGAAACATTGATGAGAGAGAAACATCGATCAGCTGCCTCCTGCACACCCCCTACTGGGGATGTGCCTGCAACCAAGGTACATGCCCTTGACTGGAATCGAACCTGGGACCCTTCAGTTCGCAGGCCGATGCCCTATCCACTGAGCCAAACTGGTCAGGGCTAGAATTCTTATTTACATTTCTAACTTCTTTGGATCATCACAAGGACATACCTCCTAATAAAAATGAAACTACAGCCCTAACCGGTTTGGCTCAGTGGATAGAGCGTCGGCCTGTGGACTCAAGGGTCCCAGGTTCGATTCCGGTCAAGGGCATGTACCTTGGTTGCGGGCACATCCCCAGTAGGGGGTGTGCAGGAGGCAGCTGATTGATGTTTCTCTCTCATTGATGTTTCTAACTCTCTATCCCTCTCCCCTCCTCTCTGTAAAAAATCAATAAAATATATTTTTTAAAAAAAATGAAACTATAACTCCATTTGAAATACTTCAGCACACATTATATACCATAATGAAGTAACACAAAGGAAGTTTTTAACACAGGATTTCCTTCTGAAGTTTAAATGTGAGGCAAACAGACGTATGACTTTACAACAGATGGAACCCCAGAACCTTCCCAGGATACATAAAACTGAATTTTGTGTTATATTCTGTCTGAGACATCTAGCCAATACAAATTGATGGCTAGGGTTTCTTTACTAATTGTTTTTTCCTATCTTCTCTTTCCAACATCCAAATTTAATAATTCAGTGTTTCTTTTAATCCCCTGGATGAGCATTCCAGAATGTATATGATTTTCATAATTTGCTCTGTGATTTATAATCTTAAATGTGTGCATATGCTGTTTATTATTCAATCAAATCATAATAATAATCAATTCATGTAACCCAACATATGTACTCTGACAAGAAAGAAAACCAAATCGTCACTAATAAAACAAGTTTATTTTATATTACAGTTTTCAAAAACCACATTTGTAAAATTACCCCTATATTAGGCCTAAAAGGTAGCCTTTACAGAGAGTTTGCAAAACTACTTTCTCTTAACTATTAAAGTACATAGATTTAAAAGGTTTTAGAAGAAAAAAATGTTAATTCATGGTAAACATTTAAAGAATTCTTACACATTAAATCTGTAGGATACCTTAGAAGGTTATGTCTTAAAAAACATTTAGAGAAAAAAATGTCTTTCCCTTTCAGAAAACTTTACTCTTAAATTATGTTTATTTAAAAATGTACACTGTATATTATACTAACAATGATCTTCCCAGATTTAACTACTAGCTTACATTAATAGTAGTGAATTACTTATTAATTACTAATTAATTAATTACTTAGCTTGCAAGTCAATCAGCCCATATAAGAGAAAACAGGAAATTGCTTTCTAATACATATTAATTCCTTAATTTTCCTGATAAAATCAAAATAAAAATTTAGTCTATTACAATTAAACACATAGATTATTGATATTAAAGATAAGAAAGTATTGTATTATTTTGAATAACACAACAGTTCAAGCATTCCGGAAGCATAAACTGTTATTTCAAAAGAAAAAAAAAATAAAAGGAAGGAAAATATATTTGTCTAACCACTGTCTTACAGAAATTTAGAATATTTACATCCTTTATAACACTGTAGAAATCTTTGGTGGTGACATATGGATTAAGTTCCCTGAAAACACTTTAATAATTTTGTTCCATCAATCTGTGTAGTCAAGTATTCATAATTAGTAATGCCGGCAGTATCATTTTCTAGCCAAATCCACATACATATAGTGAAGTGTGTGGAGGAAATCTTATGCAGGTCGTAGGCGGGTTTATATAATTAATTACTTAGCAAGTAGGCTTATTTCTGGCTCATTTTTTATACCAGAAAAATACAATAAACTAAAGAACAAATCAATTCTTACATCTAAACAAACTCTGGAAATAGTTAATATTAATGAACAAGTTGAATGCATATATGATAAAATGGCTACAATTTCTGGATAAACTTTAACAGCTACCAAAATAGTGCCCTAAATAGGCTTGTGCAGCATGTGATGCCCATTCACACCAAGTGGTAGTGGTGGGAAAGCAAGGCACTGTGGTCTAGGGATAAATTTACCTCTTCTAAAAGCAGTAGACTTATAAGCAGAGAAACAAAACTGTCCTGCTCAACCTTAAAAGAAACTAAAATGTATAAGCTTATTATACAAGGTTCAAAGGAAAGGGCATGCTAAAACACATAAGAGAAAAGAGCCCTGGCCGGTGTGGCTCAGCGGTAGTGTGTTGGCCCAAGCACAGAAAGGTGCAGGGTTTGATTCCTGATCAAGGGCATGTACCTGGGTTGTAGGTTTGTTCCTTTGTGTGCGGGAGGCAACCAATCCATGTGTCTCTCTCAAATTGATATTTTGTTCCCTCTCTCCTCCTCCCTCCTTCCTACTCTCTTTAAAAAAAAAAAAAGTTGAAAAGAAGCAACATTTAAGAAAAGGAGAGGAAGGAAATGACAGGAAAGCAAAATTACATCACTGTATATAAGGATGTAACCAGTACAGTAGAAATACATCAGAGGAAGCATTGTAAGTGTGAAGAGACACAATTAAACAGAAGGATTTAATTACCTCTATGAAACTGGTGTTGTCTTTGATTAAACGTGTTGATTCTAGAAGTGGAGAGGGATACATAATTCCTCCAGTTTAGAAAAGTACGAGTTTACCATGATTAAACAATAGGTATAATAATGAAATTATATTTGAAAATGATAAAATGGTACAAATCAGCCCCAATAGATAATGTTTTTGATACACTGTCCTTTACATGACCTTGTCAGGTACTTTGAGATGACACTACCGTTGCACAGGAAAGCAAGGTGTAGCACTTATACTGATAAGTCTAGGACTATGCAATATAAATACAACTCTCTTTTCAAGAGTTTTCATCAGAATTCATAGGAATTTTGAATACAAATTAAAGTTTTTCCAGAAACTAAGAGGCTAAAAATTAGTCAAGGTAAAGTAGATGAAAATACTCATAGAAATAAACTTTAGGAGAAAAGACGTTGAATGAATTTTTACTTGGTGTTATGTATCAAGAATGTGAGATAATCTAGAAAAAATACATATTTTAATATATATTTTAAAAAATGTTTTTATTGATTTCAGAGAGAGGAAGGGAGAGGGAGAGAGATAGAAACATCAATGATGACAGAGAATCATGGATTGGCTGTCTCCTACATGCCCTCTACTGAGATCAAGCCCGAAACCCTGATTTGTGCCCTGTGGGGAATCTAACCGTGACCTTCTGGTTCATGGGTCAATGCTCAACCACTGAGCCACACCATTGGGCTAGAAAATATTTTAAGACTTGTATCAAGAGAAGTGTCTGAATTATACTAAGGTACTCCTGAGTAACCATTCTGTTCTCTGCCAACACTCTGAGGAGGTCCGGAATATACACTGTCAGCTGGCTTCATTTCTTAAAAGGTAGAAAAGTCAAAGATCTTACAAATCTCTTTTTTTCTTTTGGACAAACAAGTAGAATCCTCAAGTAAATTACCTGAACAAGTATAATTGTACAAATTTCATTACTGATCACTAAAACTATCACCAGAAATATACTGACTTGGAGTTCATAATGCATAGCTATGAATGCAGGCTAAAAATGCCTTACAGTCCAGTAACTCAAAAATAGCTTGGATTAAAAAAATGATATTTTCTAATATCTATTCTAATAGCTTCTAACACATGAGATTAATGACATCTGTATTTTGCATTGGCAACTATCTTCAGGAAATTATATCAGCCAGAAAAGAAGTGATTCAAATGATTTTAGTTAATGCCAGATTTATTCATCAGAAGCACATATAAGTGCCAAGCTTGTGAATGGATTGGCTAGATATTTTCATTAGTTAGAAGAAACCTAAGTGCTATACTGGTCTCTGACTCTATTTCATAAAAGCTACTACTTTTAAAATCTGAGAATGTAACCAGTGTTAATAAAAAACATGCTGAGTTCAACTACAATGTACAGCTAAATACAGAAAACTAATAATTAAGATAATTTCTTATCTTTAAATGAGATAAGAACAATTAGTTATATTTTTCTACTAATAAAATCAAGCAAATTTAACAAATGAAACCCACAGGAAAAAAGATGACATCATTTAAGGCATAAATTTGAAATATCAGAATCCAACAAATAATAAAGATAGTGTCAGTAAAACTTAAAATGTACAGTCATAAAAAAAGTAAACAATTTTCAAGTGTGCAAAACTAGTCAGGAATAAAAGTGCTATGTGGATACCTGGTTTTCAAATATTTGTTTTGAAAACTTTCAGTTGATGGTGGAAAAACTATAAAGTGTTTAAAAAAAGTAAAAATTTTAAAGAATATATAAAACATACTTTATCTCACATTATGCCCTTGTGCTATCACTGCTGGATCAGAGGCCTATTTAATGACTATCCTCGTGTGATAGCTATAACATAAATGGAGGTAAACAATACAATACCACAAAGGCCGATGGATCTTGAACCATAAGACGACTTTTTTCAAGTATACTGGGTTTGTGTTTCCTCTTAAATCCCAGGCACTTGATGTTGTTGATGAATTTGAAAACAGATTAACACAATTTTCTATTCTTTCTGATATATATATGTATTGCATAACTACCTTTAGTAGTCAAGATTTAAAAGTAATTGTTAAAGAAATAAAAATTATTTAAATTAACAAAAGTAAACCCTACCACCGCCACAATCTAAAGGATTACTTTAATATGTAAATCCTGAACATAATGTTAGGAAAAAAAGTTGATGCATTAGCATAATTTGTCTTGGGATACTTGAAGCGCACATGATTAAAAATACACCTGCGGTCTCTTCTTCACTTTGTATTTTAGTGACCCATACCGCACCTGAAGAGAGAGATGTGTTATTATTACAAATTAGATGGTTATTTTTTTGAAATGATATAAGATTTGATAGTTCATAATCAGCATAAGAATTTTTTAACTTTTCTGATATAAAGAATCAATTATCCTGTAAGTGTGTATGCAAAAGACAACAGTATTTATATTCTAAAAAATGTAGTTGGTTCTATGTTGAATATATGCTGTAGATTATTGTCACTAATAAAAAAAACACTAACTGTTATTATTTATGCTTTGCTTGGTACATTGCTCATAGTAATCTGAGGCCATTCCCTGGAATCCTCCATTGCTTTCTGGGCACATGGACAATATATAATTATAAACTTTTACTATTTAATCCTCATGTAGGGTTGCTGGTTCAAAACAGATCTATGTAGTTAATCTTGTTAACTGCTTTCTTTGCTTATGGGTAGGGCTGGAACTGGGTATTTACGACAACCATATCATTCTCTATCTGAGAATGCCATTTTCTACGTGTAGTGGAAGACTAGCAATTTCTAAATTTCCAGAGATCCTACTATATCTGATCTGAATAAAGAATTTAAAAAATAACTGGCTCTACCATCCCAATCCTTCACTTGTGGATCATTAACATCCTGAATGATAATGCAACAGGGAAATCCTTTCATATCAATCATTAGGAAGACAACCTCTGTAATTGACTAACCTCTTTGCGAACTTTCATGGTTTTCACAGATTTCATGCTTTGCGATCTTCGAAGCCCTTTGTGTGTTAACATCTCATCATCTGAAAACGGCCCATCCGCCTCTTCATCTGTTTTCTCATCTCCGTCTTTCAGTGGAATTCCGTAACCTAAGGGAGTTGTCGAAACGAGCATGTTTTGATAAAAACATACCAGTCAGAACCACCTCTTAACTGCAGTTCTCTGCATGGCCTGCATTTGTCCGGTTACTCCTCCCCTTCCTCATCTGGAATGTGCTCCCGACTCCTCAGCATTGATCTGTGCCTACTGCACTATTCTACATGAAGCTCACACTCATTTCTTCCAGAAAGTTTTCCCTGACCATTTTTTTTTACTATGCATTTTTCAGAATAAATAAAAATAATTATTTTTGAGTAGGTAACACATTTATCTTGTTCAAAAATCAAAGAATATAAATAGCTATATAGCAAAAAGTCTCTTCCTGCCCTTTCTCCTTTTCATGAATTCTAAATAACCTAAGCAATTGTGTGTTTTAGTCTGTCATTTGTACCTTTACTTTAATTAGGAATTTAGGGTTTTCCCCATTCCACGTGGCAAAACTTTTGTCAAGATTGGGAATGGTAGGGTGAACTTAAGGACTCATAGAAGACCCAAAGGGGCTAGAATTTTGGGCAAGTGCACTAGGAGCAGGTGATAGAGATGTTGAACCAACACTGTTGTAGCTGCTGAGATAAAACCCAACCAGACAGGCTACAGTAATTAGAAAAACCACAGGCTATGCTGACAGATGTCAAAGAAAAGAGGCGGCATCAGGAAGGGCAGTAAGAGATTGTGGGGATGTGCTAACAGGCTAAGTGTAGCTGCAAAGGCTTAACATTAGCAAATATGCAAACATCCAGGCAGTCAGGCTGACTGTTGTCAGGAAGCCTGGGCGCCTCCTGATGCTGGGATTCAGGGACAACAATGTTCCTATTCCTGAAGCAGATGGTCCCAAACGTTAGCAGACTGTTATGAGTCACCTGGAGAACGTGTGAGTTAATACCCGGATTGCTGGGCCTGAGGTGGATTGAGAATTACTTTTCTAACTAGTTTCCAGGTGATGCCTATGCTCATGGTCTAGCAGTGGTTCTCAACCTTCCTAATGCCGCGACCCTTTAATACAGTTCCTCATGTTGTGGTGACCCCCAACCATAAATTATTTTCGTTGCTACTGTAATTTTGCTACTGTTATGAATCCTAATGTAAATATCTGATATGCAGGATGTATTTTCATTGTTCTCGACCCACAGGTTGAGAACCGCTGGGGCCTACACTTTCGGAACCACTGCCTGGATGGAGCAAAGGAGGGGCCCGAGTCTAAGGCAACCAGAGTACTAGGTAGGTTATAAAGACAAAGGTGAGTTTACAAGGCCCATTTCAAATTCTCCTATTAAAAAGGAACATAAATACCTAAATCTTACGGTGAGAAAAAAGCAGCAGGTTTTTTCAGGATCAGAAGGGGACGAGAGATGGACTGCTTGTGTGTGAAGAAAAAGATACTAAACGTTATTAATCTGCTCTCACAGGACATGTGTAACTTGAGACTCACTAAATTGTTCATAAGCTTCTTAGTCTGGTAATAAGACAAACATCTTTGTATATTGAGCTAGTACAATTTAGGCTGCCAGACTTCTAGACTAGAAATTAGGAAGGATTCAGGAGTAGAATCAGTCATTACTGAGGTCAGGATCCTTAGTTTCGCTGCAGCAGTCCAGCAAAGTATGTTTTAAGGAGAAGAGAGAGCATGTGCAAAGGCACTAAGACAGGGGGAAGCAACTGCTTGGAAGAGCTGTGAGGAGGCCAGTGTGGCCCAGGGAGGGATGGGTTGGTAGTCCTGGGGAAACACTCCCAATGCAATATTGGGGGGGGGGGGATGTACATATAGAAGCAAACAAAGGAAAAACATAAAAACGCACTCATGGTACATCTACACAATGGAATATTACACTGCTATAAAAAAAAAAGGAATTCTGCCCTGGCCGGTTTGGCTCAGTGGATAGAGCGTCGGCCTGCGGACTGAAGGGTCCCAGGTTCGGTTCCGGTCAAGGGCATGTGCCTTGGTTGCGGGCACATCCCCAGAGGGGGGGGTGGGTGTAGCAGCTGCTCGATGTTTCTCTCTCATCGATGTTTCTAACTCTCTATC